TTTAAAAACTAAAGAATTACGACAAACTGAAAAATCTATTCGAAAATTTTACTAATTAAATCTTAGTATTACATTAATTTAAAAAAAAATTTTACATACACATTAAGCGTTTTATATATATATAAGTCATAATCCAATTATAATTGATATAATTGATATTCAATTTGCATCATCTCAATTAAAATCTCTTTCGAATACATATTGTGCAAACCAAAAACAAAATTCCAAAATTGTTAAATTAAAAATAACGCATAAGAAATTCAAGATTATAAAATAAAATTCAATTAAGTGATTGCGATTTTTAATACAAAAATAATTGTTCAAAATTTGCGTAATAATTTCGAACGATTCTTACACATCCTGTTCGATCTCAATTGAACAGAAAATTGCTATGCGCACGCATTATCAAGTGCCCGTGCCAATTTCACATAAACATCATTGTAATTAGAAATCGATCGGTCGAGACTGCATTTTCTCGACGTTTTGTTTCAAAAAACTCAGTTTAACGCTCTCGATTATCATCCATGGCTGTCAATCGATGTCACATTCTCGCGTTTCTCTATCATATTTGCACCGAGTTCGGTGATAATACGAATCCAAGTCGGATCAAATGACAGATTGAATTATGTTCAGCGTTGACGCCTTCCGAATGAGGGATTAATTTCCCGATCGATAGTAGTTGTTCCAACAAAGAGCTCTGTATGATAATGGAACTATAACATTGCTCGTTGCTCCAAACAGGATCAATGTGCGTTAATCTGGACCGCCTGTTGTTCCAAAGAGCCTTGTACATTGTATTGTATTATATTACTGTTACTGGGAATTATTAATATTTCCAAGATAGAAGTGCGAGGACTTGGTAATGTAATCGCGTAGACAATTTTCTTTTATAGAAGCCATACGAGAAAAGTGATGTTCGTAGAATCGCACATCAAGCGTTATGAGATTGGCTCACATCGATTCTATATAATACAACGTAAAAAAACAAAAGATTCTAACTATATGGATCTCGACAGCTTAACCGAAAACAACGCAACAGAATTTTATTACATTTTACTTATCGTGATCGAGATACATTATAAAATGTCTCGAGTGATTGCACTAAATGATTTTTCATTTTGTCATTTTAAAATCCTCGCATACGCCAATTTGTAAATAAAACCTGAATGAAGACAATAAATACTGCCATGAGTTGGAGCGTGTTTCTAAATCTTTAAAGCTTGACAAAGTGCGACCGTGATCTACTGACCGAACGACAAGTCAACGCCTGAAAGTTTGTGCCAATAAATTAAGAAGCGCGGACATGTTAGTCAACTGAATGAAGACATTTCTGTAACTCCGGAAAATTCTAGAATAAGAAAAGCTATGTGTGGTACGTGAGGAGGCACTTAATGTAGAAGATTTTCGAAAATTTTGTTAAAATAAATGATCAACTATATGCATTTATCGAGGAACTTTCCATTAAAATTTAATGTGATGCAAGTAGGCCAGATTATATATGTGTTATTTATAATCCAATCATAGCTTTTTGTTATTAAAATGTAAATTATTCGAGCTGACAGCATTCTTTGCATTTAAACACGTCAATGCAACAACTAAAGTAAAATTAAAGATCGCATGCTTTGAAATTATAATATTATGTAAAAAAAATTGAATCCGTTATGTTTAAATACTTTAAAAAAGAATTAGATGAAGATGTAGTACATAATGAAAATCATCAGCTTTATGCCCGAAATACACGACAGTTCGTTAACAAGATGCTCCAAAGTACAAGTGAATGAATTATACCCAAGAGAAATCATTCGCGTCGAAAATTGTATAGACGATGGAACGTAAACCAGATAAATCAGAGAATTTCCCGTCCTAGTTTTGATGAGCGGTTTCCAGATATTGTTCGACGACGAAGAAATTAACTATTCATTGTGAGCAATTAGAAATGTTGAATGTCAGTTGAGAGCACGATCTGCTTCAGAAATAGCTCCATGTGTTTCCGTTCTGTTCGATGAACGGCGTTCACGAAAGCATCGCGTCGCTGATTACAACACCGATATGAACGCAACAAGCGTGGAGATGAGCATACTCGCGCGCGCGTGGAAACGATTTGCGGACGTGATGACGCAGAACGAGTTTAGGACTCCGCCGAGAATGCAAGGTGGTGTGCCGTTCGCGATTTGTGACTTTTGTAAAGTGCTGGAATGTGTCTAGTTTTGTTTTGTCAAAGCACAATTGCCGATTGTATCTGCAGCTCATGTGGCTCGGATAAAGTCGGGATTGGTTTGTATCGACAGAATTGTTTAACCCTTAGTTCCGACTCCAGGGTCGTTTACGACCCTGCCGAATTTTCAAAGTGCTGTAGTTTTTGAAAACGGGTAGGGAGCGCGCATAAAAAAAAAATATAAAAATTTTTTTTTTTCAAAATATTACTATTGGGGCTTCAACTTGAAGGTTGAAGGAAGTTACTTGAATTTTTTCAGATTTTTTGAAGCGTTTTTATTGTCCCAAATAACGCTCGGACGCGAACGACCCTGGAGTCGGAATTAAAGGTGCCGAAAAGGACGGTCGGAACTAAGGGTTAAGTAGATAAATTTTTGTTCAGTGTTAAGAAAAAAATAATTACTGACAATGAGAGTGTTATTATTATTATTGGAAATATAGCCTTAGTTTTTCTAAACAATTTTTCGTGTAAACTTTGTGTATTGTGTACGTATATTGAAATATTATAAGATTAAAACGTGTCATAATTTAATAGCTTTTACTTTAATTAAAAAGTATCAAATGATCAATATAATTGATTTGTTTTTGTTAAATTATTTGAATTTATCCTTTATTTTTTTTCAAAAATGTATATGTATATTTATAGCATATATAAAAAATTAATGTATTAATAAAATTAATCAATAATTTTAGTGTTAAAATGTATTATAATATATAAAAAAGTTGCAATACATAAAAAAATTTCGATTTATGTATGTCTAACCACTTTTGCGCATTAATGCCGCGATTTTATTTTGATAAACAGGATTATACGCGTTTCTGTATATTTATAATCTCCATGGCATTTGTCGTTCATAGGAAAATGTGATATTTTAAAGACTAAATAGGTGATGGTACATGTATGGCTGAGAAATGGACCAGACTAAAGGCGATGCGTTAAAAGGTCAGAGTATGGTATTCGAAAAGCCATACTCTTGACAGAACAGTTAATATAATTGTAACAATGTGGAAAGCGGATCTTTGTTAACAAACAGGGATATCATATATGACTGGAAATCACATCGCATATTATCAAGATCTTTTTGAAGGCATCCACTTCTCGTTAGCGACGAATTTTGTGAATATAATTTTACGCGTTAATGAGATCATTGAGAAAGACAGTGTTCCTGGAAAATAGAAACTGATCCACCACCGACGTAATGAATGAAACTGTTACAATGCGTGCACACAGCGTGCACGTCACAGGCAGATGCTGTGCATTAGCAGCTACATTAGGATTCATCATATAATTAGCATAACGGACATAGATAATTGACCAAAATGAAATGATTGCGAGATTCACGATGTAGCAAGATAATCGACTTATTTCGTGTTTTGAACGATTCATAATACACAGAAAAGTTTTCTAGCTAAAACATCTAAAAATTTAGCTAGGCACAAATCTAAAAACAAGTTTCTGTAGAATGTTCAAACTGAATATTAAGATCTCGATACAAATTCTTGCATAACGCATAATTTATGAGAAAATGAGCCATCCAAAATTCATTTATTTCCTTCCTTTCCATAAAATAAAGAACTCTGATTGGTTGATTCTCTTATCTTATGTATTATGTATTATGCACAGGTCTGTGCTCCGGCTTTTAGAATGACAAAACTTTTTGCAGTAAGGCTCATCACGCTCGAGTTTCTTACGTAATCATTTTCACGGTTCAACACAATTATTTTCAAATGTATATCTAAATTTGTAGATGATATACCTAAATTTAACTACATCGTAGATTTATGATTTTGCTATAAAATTATAAATCATTCAGCAAAATCGTTCTTTCCGTGTGAATTCTTAAACGTCTCAGTCGACACTAACTGAAAGTAACATAACATTTAATTTCGCGCTCAACAAAATAAATGTACCATATTTTGTTACGGAATAGTTACATCATTAAGTGCGAAATTATTACGTAGGCGTTATACGAAATTTTCTCTAACAAAAATTTGCGCTACAGCTTACATCAATTACGAAACGTGCCATAGAGAGAGAACAATATTGCGTTTGTCTAATAATTGAGAAATTTACAGGCGGCTCTTTAATTCTCGCGTAAATTGACTGAAATTAATCGAAACATCAGGGAGGATACGAAATGTCGTCTTGTTAATCGACGGATAATGGGAACCGCTATCAATCCGTAATATCAGCGCCATAGTATCTTCTATAATACATTATTACTACATAAGTGCGGAAGTTGAGATAATCGTGATAGTCTTGCAAGATATACGCGATAATCTTGCTTTCAAATCTCAGTTACGATCATATCGCTCGATGTTTGCTTTCTCAAAACGTAAATCAGCCGTTGTCAAGCTGAAAAAGACACTTGTAATTTCAGATCAACACGAAGGTAAGCAGCGCTAGGATCTTATCGTGAGAAGCTATTCAACTCGTGGAAACACATTTACAAGATGTAGACTGTCAAGAACATCCATGGCGCATGTAAGCCGAGATTTCACTGACGGATCTTCACGAAAACGTCGATATTCTTCGGAGAAGACATCGTAATTGCATTCCACAGAATAAATCGCCGCTACGATGATCTTGAATACTTATGGACGAGGTTAAGCAACAAAAATATCGCAGAAAAAATACTCGTAACGCGGAGATATCTGCGCGTTCCAGCAGTCGATTTGAAATTTGACCACGAAATCCCAAATATTAATCTGCTTACCGTCTTTGCGAAGTTGACGCGTCTTGTGAAGTCGATTTTCGCCAATCAGAATTTGATAAAGGAAATAAGATGATCTCGACTACAATAGCAAATATCACCAGTACCCTCCATGGTGCGGCGGATTCCTGGAGATTCTCGAAAGATGAGAATCTTCAGGAACTTCGTTCCACGATCGATAGTATTATCCATACGAATCCGCGATACGAGAACTATTCGAGCACGATCGTCGCTTTTCTCAGAGATGAAAACGTGTTGGACCGTCGAGATTCCCTGTACATCGTGCTGCCGGTCACAGTGATCTACGTCGTGATCTTCTTCACCGGACTGATCGGCAACATCTCCACGTGCGTGGTGATCGCGCGCAACAAGTCCATGCACACCGCTACCAATTATTATCTCTTCAGCCTCGCGGTGTCCGATCTGCTGCTACTCGTGTTCGGACTGCCACCAGAGATGTATTACATATGGTCGCATTTTCCGTACATCTTCGGCGAGACATTCTGCATTATCCAGAGCTTCGCCTCGGAGACCTCGGCTAATGCCACCGTTCTCACCATCACGGCTTTCACCATCGAGAGGTGAGCTAAGAAATATTAGGATATATCGCGCGTACATTAAACCTGACTGTCATGGATACAACGACACTCGCCGATCCCATATCCTGTCAATCATTCAGTTTTTATCTATCGATATCATGTTTTTCTTTCTTTTTTTCACGAATCATGTGCAATAACTGCTGATGTAGGTATTTCAACTGAAATATCTATATCGCCAGTTTGATGAAGAAATCGATAAAATAAAATACGAATATAGAGAGAGAGTGAAAAGCTCGCGCCAGTTTGTCGGTTCTATCTGCGATTTTGACTGCGTGTGAACATCGATAATCCGGCACACTCACAGGATAGAACCATCGACGAATTTCAATCTTCTGGGAAACAAAAAATGTTTGCGCTTTTTAATATTTTCACTCCTTTTTTTCTTTGCAGGTATGTGGCGATCTGTCATCCCTTTATTTCACATACAATGTCGAAACTATCACGGGCAATAAAGTTTGTGGTGGCGATATGGTTGTTGGCCCTCTGCCTCGCCGTACCACAGGCTATTCAATTCGGCATCGTCTACGGCATCGACTACGCCGACAACGGCACCGCCGTCCTGGACAGTGCCAGGTGCTCCCTGCGCTGGACGCTGATCGAGCATGCATTTGAGATCTCAACCATCCTGTTCTTCGTGCTGCCGATGACGATCATCATTGTGCTGTATGTGTTGATCGCCATCAAGTTGCGACGTTCGAGCCTGCTATCCACCACCGTTAGTAAAAGGCATCATGTTCACGGTGTGTTGAATCACGTAGACAGCAGTAGAGGGAAAACGAACGCTCAAAGGAACGTTATTCGCATGCTGGGTAAGTGATGCAGTTGCTTTGATAGTCGAAAATTACAACTTGCAATTCAAGTATTTTTAGGGACGCGATTTGAGATAATTAAAATCGGTTTATCTTGATTCTAAGTCGGAACTCGAGAAGCCACTAAAGACTTTCAAGATCTGTCAACGAATTTACCGAATAATAATCGACGATACAATACAAAATTTGTAGTCATTGGTAAAAATTTACAAAAAATTTTGATCGCCTTATCTCGAAAAATGCTTTGAAAATCACAGTACGCCTAAGAAAGTATCCTAAGACAAAGAAAAAAAAGACAAGTAGATATTAAAACTATAATCTCCCATTAATTTTAAATAAGTTTTAACAGAATTTCAGTTTGAAACTCGATTCTGTAGACATAATTAAAACTTAGCAAACTTTATTTAAAGAAAAATTTAAACTCTAAGAAATTCGTCATTGTAATATGTCTCATTTGTTTACTTTGCACATAGATAATACTTGTGACTATATTTTCGAAGAAATATATCGAGCGACATAATTTAAGAAACTTTATGGCAATTAAATAATTAGTTACATTAATAAACATGCTAGAGCTGCGACAGTTGAAAACGAGTTACATATTCATCATAGTTCAAAATTAGTAAGAGAGAGAGAGTTCGCATAGTTTTACATGCAAATCATTTAAACGTATCACGCCAGACGTTCTCTTCTTATGAAAAGTTTAAATGAGCTTAAGCCGCTCAGTTGGTATATTGCAAATGCTTAGCCAGATATTCCTGCAACAATCTCGTGAAGCATTCAAATCTATGCTTAATTCTTCGAATTTCGCTTAACAGAACGTATCTGAATAACGTATATCTGGATAATGCTGCAAACACCTTGCTGCGCCTGTGATAATATGCAAGTAATTTCGTAAACAAGCAAGTGCTTTACGACAGAGAGATACTGAAGTTTCGGCTTGTTTATCGAATAAACCTGTATAAGTATTGCGTGTTTTCCATAAACTTTGAGAATGTTAGCGATATAAAAATCATACGAGCATTAATTGAATTTCCTAACTTTCGATTATAACATGTAATGTTATGTTAACCGTCAGTTAACATATTAATGTAACTAATGATTCGATGTTATTATTTTTTAAAGTTTATTAAATTATATATTGCTGTTGAATATATTTCTTTAAAAATATATTGTCACAAGTATTGCATACAAAGTGAATAAATACGATATTTTAACAGATTTTAATGATTGATAATTTTTACATAATAAGAATCACAATATTACAAATTATTTGATAATTTTATTGTCATTGTAAATATCATCTAAATGATATAGGTCTTGCATTTCATAAAAACTATAGTATGTGACACAAATTGAGTAAAATTATGACAAAGAATCGAGAGTCACGCAAAATTTAGCCCAAAGGTCGAATGTTTCCAGATGGACATCTTAAATAAAAGTCGTAGAAACGCTATTTAAAAAAATTAACGACTCCATTAATTCCAATAATTGCTATTAATTGCTTGATGCAAAATTAAATATCGCTGTGTTCTTAAATAAAATATGAGAATCAGATAAAGATAAAAGCCATTTCCAAATATAACTTGGGCTGCTAAAAGAGAACAACATTCAGAAGAAGCAGTCATAGTACGCCAACGATCGATTCTGACGGGATGTAACCTCCTGCATCAACGTGCCAAGCTTCGCAATTTTTTTTCAAAACAAAAGTGTATATATGTGATATCTGTTTTTATCGAAACGCACAGAGAGATATCAGAAAATATCTACCGATTCTTAGGAGGGGAACCGATCCTGAGAAGGGGAAAGGAGGATCAGACATTTGATCGGGTTTTTACGACTTCGCATAAACTTCTTCTTATCTCGATGTCGATTCTGTTCATAACGATGGAGCTTTATTACATGACTTCTACTTCACCTTACGAATTTCTGCTGTGTTCGACATTTAATGTCGAATTTAAATTGTAAGAAATTTTTCTTGGATATTTAAGTTTTATTTTCTAATTATCTTGATGTTATTTATTTTTAATTTTTTGATAAAGCGATATTATAACTTTGCAAATAAAAATTTAAGAAAACTATATGTGTGTATAACACAATTTTTGAAAAAAATGGCTTTCTTTCGCGCGCACACACATACTACAGTTTTTTTTTAATTCTATATTCAAAAAATTAGTACAAATTTCACTTCTCCTTCGCACATTTTCTCTTTTTAAAAAAATTTTTCTCAAAGAACTCTCTCTAATAAAAATTTAAAAAGTTACCTTTACAAAAATGAACATGTAAATGTTTCGACATCTTCAATTTTGTTTTGGATTGATTATATGATTTCACATTTCTATCCTAGGTGATTTATTAATAAATTGCCTTCTCGGAATATCTTGGAAGAAGAAAATTTCTATGCTATTTCCGTATTGTCCTCGAACACGTAATAGATCTTCTATGCCTCATTCTTACAATACCATGATTCGTTCGTGATACGAATAGGATATCGACGAACTCGATCTCTAGAAAAATCCATTGACAAGTGAGACAAGTCTCTCGAGACTGACCATTTTGTTCAGCAAGACAACGAGATCTTCAAACGCAAGGAGATTTGAAAACAGCCTATGTCTTGGCAAATTAACTAAGTGATTTCAAACTCGTTTAATCTATATCCGTATATTTTCACGACTATTGAACACGCAGTTAGATGAAATCAAATAAATATCACAACATCAAATGAATAACAAGAATGTATAGGCTATCCTAGGTGTTACGGCTAAATCTTTCATCTTTTGAAAACGTATTGTTGTATTTCATTTAAATATCTCGTATGATACTAATAAATTTTTTTTAACAAATTTTAAGAATTTCGTCTTATCTAAAAGTAAAATTGTAAATTCCAACGTTTTAATTATTTCAGAGTTAACCGTAGATTAAAATAACTCGAGCATAGTGTAAATCATTTTACAATGCCGTTGCTCCACTTTCTTAAAGAATAAAATTATATATTTTTTGTAATTTTTTAAACTTAACTAATACTATTAATTTGATGACATTTCAAAAATTTTAACCCAGAGTAACCATCGTATAACTCTTTTGAAGTATGACCATGAAAGGTTAAAAGAACTAAGCTTTTTTCAATAAAATTTTATTTTTTGCTGGATTTTAAAACGAATATTATATGAACGTAATTCAAAATTAAACGTATGACTAACATAATATTCACCAATAATTCATTAATTTGAATATGTTCGCTAATCTCATTATTTTTCTTGTAAAGAAAAGTCGCGCGCCGTCACATTCCCAGCGAATTGATCGCGACGATATTAACGTCAGCGCAAAGAAAAAAAGTCATTCAGCGGCGCCCCAACGCGTAGTGATGAATTTGAAATATGAGGGTGTATAAGACCCGAATCGTTATAGACATTTCTCTCATAAATTATCTTCTTTTTTTTTTTCTAAGTCGCTACGAATAGCTTCAAATTCGAAGGCTTGCATCTAAAATCCCAGAGAATTATTCCACTCGCATCTGCTATAATAGCTATAGATAAACGACATGCTGTTCTCGTCAAGCTTCTATCATTCACGGTGTCATGTGGCGTCGATTTCATTCTCAGTCTCATCGACAAGTCGCGTCCTCGATATCGTCAGACTATTTTTGATAATGTCAGTAAAAGAATTAAATCAATTATAAATAAGCCGTCACAACTTAATTCTAATGACAATAACATAATAAGAAAGAATATAAATTGGTTAATTATACCTTACATAAAAGGATTTTCGGAAAGATTCAATAACATTGTTAACGGACTCAATCACAAAATTGCTTTCTTTAGTATTAATAAATTGAATGATTATATTAAGGTACAAAAAGATTCTATTCCACACGATACAAAAATGAATGTAATATATAAAATAAATTGCAATGATTGTGGTGCAACCTATGTTGGACAAACTAAGAGGAAATTGATAACAAGAGTTAACGAACATCGTAATCATATACGGAGGAATACTTCTTCCAAATCTGTTATCACGGATCATAGGTTGGATCATAGTCATGAATTTAACTGGAATAATGTGAATATTTTGGATTGCGAAAGTTTTTATCATAAACGATTGATATCAGAAATGCTTTACATTAAGACACAAAGTAATGGTCTTAATTTAAAAACAGATACCGATGGTCTTGATCGCTCATACGCTAATATTTTAGACAAACTAATAAACATTAATTTGACCTACTTGTTTGTGGTCTGTTGATTTGTAATAACGGTCTTCATTATATCGTTGTACATCGTCATATACAGACATATTGACGATGAAATTTGATCAATGCGATTTCTGTGATATAATTGATTTTATGTCTTTTGTCGATCAACTTGAGGTAAGCTTATTGAGTATTTAATTTTTACTGTTTTATCAAATTTTATAATTTTTTAAAAAAAGTTTTTAATGTAATTTATAATTCTTGATTATATAATTCACAGACATACTCAATTATTCGAACTAATGTACATACTTTCACGTGAAGAAGTGATAGTCTTGCCTCAGATTGGTTGTATATTACATACTGCGGGACAACATCATTGTTTGCAACTCTGAGTAATTTTTAATTTATATTGTATTGTCGCTGATGATGATCCGAAACGAAGGATCGAAACGTTCGACATAATATCTATGTTATAGATTTTAAGATTATATTTTTACGCACTGCTAACAGCGTTGACTCTTAATAGCCTTTGTATTTACTTAAATTTTTGTATTGTTTTTGCTTTCAAGGTCAAATCTAGAGATAAATTTGAACGAAGTAAAAAGGAAAAGATATATTGGATAAAGTAAAATCTAATTCATAACTTTATCGATTTAACGCTTCTCTCTTGTAAATACAAGACAATACACATATTATAAAAAATTGCATCATTAAACCTAAATTTCGATTTTTTTATTATATTTTCTTAGATTATAAATTTATTAAAACAAATGTAGTCAACAACTGTTTATGTCTTTGCGTTTGG